TTTGCAGGGTGTCTAGCACTATTTGGTTTGGGGGGTTGTTTGCGTTTCTTTTTGGCTTGATTTGGTTAGAACGATGGTCATGCAATGTTTGATCTCCTGAAGCTCTGAACAGCAACTGAGTCTATCAGCTATTATCTGTGGTGTGCTGAAACCCAGAATATTTGTCCTCTCACTGTCCCCTTTTTTCAGTAAATGGGCTAGATGACCTGAATATAAACTTCTGGATACTACTTATTTTCTTGCAGTCATTCCCCTCCACTCCAATATCCCCAAAATATAAATAAAAAAGGCCCCTCTGTCAACCTGGCAGACTCCTAGGATGCTTTAGCATACACAGAAGGAACACGTTTGCAGGCTACCAGCGCAATGACTTATCCATTTTTATCTGCTTACTCAGTTTGTATAGAACAAATTACACTGAAGGTGGGGGTGAAAACTGAGTAAATTTGGCTTGATTCATCACCTGTCCTACTCTGCAGATCAATCAGTTAATAATTTCATTGACCTGGAGGATCATTCAGAACAATATATTTAATTCAGTCATGCATTTAGTTTAATTAAGGTTTGAAGTTACAGTGCTCTGCTGGCAAAGAGATATTAAATCTGCTTTTTTTTTTTTTTCCTCCCTGCTTTCCATCCACCGTGTGAATTTCCTCTACTGGATATCATTCATAACAGATCTTTTATTTTAATTTAGCTGATTTGCCCGCTTTTGTGAAATTTTCCYGCTCCCTTTGCCGTAAGAATCACCTGAAAGCCCTTTCTGTGTCATTTGCTGGGTATGCTGGAAATATTAGGGTTCCTAGGCACTAATGCAATGGATTGGGGGAAGGGGAAAATGTCAAATATTGGAATCAGCCCTTTGAACACTGGCTAGGACAAGGTCAACTGCTCTGGAGAAGGGATGCAGCTGAGAAGGGACACAAGTGCTAAGTGGCTGTCAAAGAGTGGCAAGGACACAGGCAAGGGCCTTTCAAGAATATACCTTGCAAAGGCTCTTGCAAGGGACAACTCTCTAGCAGGCAGCTTTGTGACTGTTTTCCCTACATGATACAGGGGTTTGAACTTTGGAAGAATGTTAACTAAATAAACAAGAATTAATATCAAYCTGTCACTGAGCTGCTCTGACACCTGAGAGTTACAGGTCTGTGATAATCAATATGTACATTGAACATGCCCCTCCACAGGCCTCCTCCAAGAGTTACCAGTGCTGAATTTGGATCTAGAGCCTAAGCTGCAGCGTCCAGGGAGGCTCTGCAGTCTCTGAATTGCATTGGTGTCAGATAATATGCCTTCAAAGGTGAGAATACTTGAGACAAATGTGATCTCCCCTTTTTAAGGAAAATTGAGGAAGCAAGAACTTTCAGGAGGAAGGGATATACTGGTTACTGGACCAATATATTCTTATGTGTTTCCTCATTTTTTATTTTAAATCAAAATCATCAAAATATAAATGTTTTGGTGAAGGAAGATGTTTTTTCCTGTGATTACTAACTTTCCTTCTCACACTTCTATTTGATTCTTGGTTTTGTTGTTATTTACTTTTTGTTGTTTTTTTYCTGCTCGGCTGAAAAACAATTTGAAGACAGAGATCACTGCTGGTCTGCGTGTTACTATGTGGGGAAGCACAGATAAAAATCACTAACTTCTTTCCTTTTGCAAACTGTATTTTYGCTTTTGCAGCCTGTTCCATAAGAAGAAGCTATACTGTTCCCTGATATCTGCAAAAGCTCTGAATAGGTCATTTTAGGGGTCTTCTTCAGTTGTCTAGTTTTCCTATTTCAGTAGTGTTTAACCTTCTGCTAGAGCTGGATATTTCTGCGTTCACAAAACTGCTTTTTCCTTTACGTTTTGATGGACGTTTCTTCCAAGAAGTCCTGCACTGCTTGAGAATAAAGGGACACTTGAAAGGAAAACCATGTGTCTGGAGAACGGAGAACACTCCRTGTCTGGGCAGAACGTGCGCGCTCCTGGGTCCATACCCACCTCCTTCAGGGTATAAATACAATGTCACTGCTTCTCGAGGTTTAATGACCTCCCATCAGTCCTCCCTGGATACCATTTTCTTACTTCATCTCACTGTGAGTTTGTTCTTATTAAGGGCCTGATCCATCAAAGCACTTAAACACATGGTTGTGAGTTGTAAACCCACCAGGGTAAGTACCTCGACTTTTTATAACCCTGTAAAGTGTGTAAAGTGTGTACCTATGGCACTATAAAAGATGGGTTTAAATGATGTCTGTGAGAAGCGTTAACCTTTCCTGTTCAGCACTCWCTTTCCTCTACAACACCAGAAGTTTCTACAGTTTGTGTTGCATATATTTCAAACAAGGCTGGTTTTGACAAATTGACTGTTTCTCTTTTAGTTCTGTCTTTTTTGCACCTGTCTAAAAGAGCATCTATACCTAATAAATTTTCAAGATATTTTTGCTTATCTGTATTCCTCAAAAAGACTGCTTAGATTCTGTTAGACACCCTGAAGGATTACTTAATAGTTAAAATTTTTCAATTCAGCTTCCTTAGAAAAAAAATAAAGTAAAATAAGAAAAAAGACCAACACAGTAGGCCTTTTTCCTGCAGTTGCTGCCAAGGATAACCCTCAAGTTACATCCTGTTCTGAGAGCTGGACCCCCTGAGAGGGTCCAGTGCAGAATTTTAATTTCTCAAAGCACTGGAAATAAAAGTAATTAAACCTTTGCATATTCCTTTTGTGCTATAAATACATTAATAAAACAGGCAAAGGAAATCAACTCCTAAATTATCAGCAGTAGTAAAATGCTGAATATTGAAACACAGTTTAATTTATTCATTTATAATTTTTTATCAGACTAAAATAGGCCTTTAGGAGCAATTTAAGCATTACAATAATGCAATTGTTTGGTATAGTCAGCAGTTAGACACAMAGCTATTTTTGTACAAAATTAAAAAAATAGCAGGCTAGTGGCAAAGTCTCATATTTCAGTGTAAATTGATGATGAATTTATGCAAATCCCTCTTCTATAAACAAGTATTTCAGCRTTAAAACTCAGCAGCAAACCAACCRAATTSATCTGGTTGTGTGTCCACCAAAAGAAAGTCAGGTTCCAATTACGGGAGAACTTCCAGGTAACCAGTGTCTAAGTTAGCATATATAAAGTGTAAATCTTCTCACCCCCAAATGAACTTAGGAGTTGGCTATCTGCCTTGGATATATTTTAGAGAAAATTGGTTAAGCCTGAGGCAAAGCATAAAGTACAGATGTCATATATTAATAGCAGAGACAATTGGAAACCTTTTAGCTTTTGTATTAGATTATATGTCTGCAAAAGAAAGATTAGTAGGAAGGCATTTCAAAGCTCAGACTATTAGGGGAGAGTTTTCCCTAAGTATTTTTGATATCAAAAAGGGCTCTTGGTTCCAGTCTACTACAAAGGGCAGATGACATTCCTCACAGTCATTGCTAAGGGAACAGTAACCTGGCAGGAAGTTTCCAAACTACTACAGCACAGATCCAGTCTATTTAGGGTTCAACATCTGCTCCTGTATGTGCATAAGCAAAGGCTTTGATTTCTAGACTTTTATTTTATATGCTGGGAATTTGTGAGGGTACAACCCTGCCTAAGGTGTGACTGGGGTGAGGGGGTAACATACCCATGAGGGCAGATCCTGTAAGATTTGAGCATGACAGGTACAACCTGTACAAATCTAGGTAGCACCTGTGGCTGAGGAAAGGTCTACAACATTGCATGCCTCATCAATGTACTGATTCTTTTTGCCTCTGGTCTTGAAAACCTCCACGGATGGAGACTGCGCAGTCCCTAGGCAAGCTCTTCCACTGAGAAGGAAGCAGAGCCTGGGGTTCAGGTGGGGAATAGTTCAGGCAAAACACATTTATTCCCCAAACCACCTCCAAACCAGACTGAGGAMAAGACTTTCCTGTGTGCCAGACTGTGCCTCCATACCATGAAAGGAGCTAAGTCTGCTCAGGCTGTGAATAGCTTTCAGTAGAAGCTGTGTTATCACTCAGATAATATACTGGTTGCTGTAGATTCATATTATGAGCATTTTCTTCTTAACCAGCAGAGCTAGAAGAAGTAGTTTACAATTAATTTAAATTCTAGGCTCAGCAGGTGACTCTGAGAGGCAGAGGACGACGATACTGACTCATTCCGCCTGCGGAGAGGAGCGCGGCTCTGCTGAACTCGGGCAGCAGCTGCCGCCAGGGTCACCGCTTCACAGGTGGAAAACGCCCTGCAGACATCCCTCCACTAAGGCAGGGATAATAATCCTAAGGGACATGTTTATTAGACTTGTTTCTAGACCAGAAAGAATAATAAAATATGCTGCATCTTGCTGGAATATTACACGGACTTCTAACACACTGTAAATTGACAAGAAATTATTTATCATCTTGAATGCCYGGTGGACACAGACTTGTTCATTTTTAGAAATTGCATAGCTTGTCTTTCAACAAAGAATATGGTGAAATGTGAGAAGGGCAATCAAGGAATTTATGAAACTCTTTCTCACTGTTTCCATAGTAACTTCCTTAATAAGCTTAATAATCTTGCTTAGAAACAACCACATGAGCAAATATATTGTGTAAATTTTTCAGGCATAACGAACACACTGTCATGGCTTGGCTTCTTATATTACTTTTACAAATACTTTATCCCTTGGTGGTTGTCTGTAAGAGGCAAAACCTGAGGGATAACAAAACAACCCACCTTATACATCCTTTCCAGGGATATGTTTAAAGAGGCATATTTCAAGCACAGCTACTACAGTAGGATATATTCCCTGTGTTAGCAAAAAAAAAAAAAAAAAAAAAAAGCTAACCAAAATCCAGGGATAAAGTAATTATTATAATTGGTGGTATCTTGCAGCCAAGCCCTGACTGGGGTTGGCAAGCTTAAGGGGTAAAAACCTGTCTTAGATTTTTTTTATCTTGTCTAGAGGTGAGAAACTGCTCCAAAAAATTGAAATGACATTTTAATGATTATTATGGATTCCTCCCTTACCTGAGTGCTTTGAAGTAGGTGCTGATGAGACACAGGATTACATGTTTTCGTTAAAAAACATCGATTAAGGTCCCAATTCTGCACAAAACAGAACACACATGCTTAACTTTAGCAACCCAAAGCAAGGCTGTGACTAAATGCCATGAACTATATAATGATTTATTTTCTTCCAGGAATTTTTAACTCAATAATATGAAAATGTGATTTTATTGGAGACAAGATAGCTACCAGCAATGATACCAGCTATGATCCTTTTCAAAGTTAACAATAATTATTTTTAATGTGTCTTATTGACTTCTAATAATCTCTGAGGGGATTAATACCTAAGAAAGCATGTATGTGTTGATGACAGAAAGCAGAATTAAGTATACTGATTTACTGCAACTCTTCATTAAGTTTAAAAGCATTCCACTGTGATGAAGACATCAACCATAGGCTATGGCAATTTCACATTGCAAAAGAATAGTTAAAGGCAGGAAGACAAAAAAAAAAAAAAGAAAGCAAACAATGTTTTAACTTGAATTCAAGCCAGATTTCACAAGAGCAAGACCCTAATCAAATCCACTGAAGTAAAATACATTAAAAATATCTGACATTTCTCCCTCTCTGAATGCATGGGAGAAATGTATCTGTTAGGTATGTACTGAAAAATTAACTATGTAAAGTAAAAGCAGTTCATTATTTTGCAAAAAGATATGTGCACAACTGATTTTCCTGTAAATATTCAAACTTTGATTCTCATTCTCTATTATTTACAATGATACAACACTGTTGATTATTATGAAATAACTTATGAGTCAAGACAAGCAGGACTTTCTCATATCTTTTGTTCTATAAAATTATGAATTAATTTTTTTAATTGTAAAAATCAGTTCAAACTCTACAAAACAAAGCAAGAAATAATATGATGTGATAGATTCCATGTCAACTATGTGAAGCTTTTTTTTAGGGCTTACTTTTAATTACTTTTAATGAATGTGTAGCAGAGTTACATAATACAGTTATAGGTTTTGGAACACTGAAGCCAAACAGAAAGCTGACCACTCTTTACCAAGCAAAACAGAGGTATTGTAAAGTTTTAATTCAAAAGAAAAATTCCTCTTAGCTCCAAGGGTATCAAGATTTTATCTGGTATTCACAATTATTTCCTAGAAAGTTTTACACTTGTGAATACTGCCAGAAGAACTCATGTCATGAACACAACTCCCTCAACATCAAAAAATGTTGAAAGTTTGCCTGTTTCCTAAACAATACATGGCCCTGAAGTCTATACATGTGTGTATGTCTGTATAATGGAGCTGAAATTCTTCGTAAGCATCATCAGTCATTTTGCTCAGAAGCAAATAAGCACGGGATGTTATTATGTGCTAGGATTGTATCACGGTCAGGCTACTAACAGGCACAGGGCCAAGCTCCTGCAAAAAAAAATTAGGTGATATTTATTTTGGAAGCCTTTCAAAACAGGAACTCTTTTGTGGTACTTAGTACAGTGTCAGCACCTACAAATAAGAATAAATAATTCAAATTCTCATATTTGGCTTGGTTGGTTATTTTGAAAACCTATCTGAAGAGATTAACTTGGCAGCTCTCTCCCTCCTGACTCAGGGTCTGAATCGTTGCTGCCCCCAGCTTTTGATGGACACTCATCCTCACTGGCCATCCTCGCTACAGAAACCCTCTCTCTGAGCTGTGAGGTGTCCCCTAACCCCTGTGGCACAAATATCCCTGTGCCTTCTCACAGCCCCACACTGGCTGCTGGTGGGCTTGAAGGAACCCTCATTTCTAATTRCAATCAAAAGGTGAAAGTTGTCATCTGAAGTGGTATACGGTTATATCTCACATACAAGAATGTCTGCTTCTTTCTTATTTTCTGAAATTTTCCTCTTAGAAAACCATTCCAGTTTGGGCTATTTTTTCTAACTTTTGAAATTACTACAACACTTCTCATTGTTTGGACCTTTTCCAACTGTGTATCGAATCCCTTCCTGAAAACTTGTTCCAGTCCTTAATTGTTCTATCAGAAGTCATTAAGCCCCAGTGGTCCTGGTTTCTGAGTGTTTTGCAGTGACTCCTAGCCACCCACTGGCCTTTGCAGATTTTGCAGATATAAAGGCTGCCTTGTGCACACCCACAACTTTTACTTGGGATAGTGCCATATATTGATTAATGTCACCATTAAGTCATCATATTTCCTATCATTCTCCATGAGAGCTGAAAAGTTTTAGGTGTATTTGAGTTCTCAAGACAGAACACTGCAAGTGCTTTGGTAGCACTATATGTACCACTTCCTTCAGTGGACTAATTAGTCTTCTAATTCTGTGCTTTTTTTTTCTGAATTCTTTACTACTTTACCTATATTTCCATGGCACTCATGCAAATGGTTCTCCAGTGTCTTCCTTATGAGTACTGAAGTGTGTCAAGGCCTAGGTTCTTCAGACAATACTATTCTGAGAATATGGTGGACCTCATGCATGTGGGTCTGTTGCTCCTCATCACCCCAATACTTATCTCCATCTTCAGCCAGATGTCAGTCCCGCTGACACCTGTCCCAAAGTGAACACTACTAATCTCATCATCATAATGTTCTCCAAGAACCTTCAAAGTCGTGGGTCATTTGTATGGGAGAGAACTTTTATTATTATTATTATTATTATTATTATTATTATTATTATTATTATTATTATTATTATTATTATTATTATTATTATTATTATTTTCATCCCAACTGCATATGATATAGCTTGGTCATTTCTGCCAGGCTGTGTATATTCACTTCTTTTTGGACTTTTGTCTAAATATGCATGTTAAAGGCATTTCTATGTCTCTGCTCTCATAGCTTGCTATCACCAAAAAGCCCTGCTCATTTTCTTTCTCTGAGGGATTTCCTCCTCTGAGGGAGGAATTTTGTCATCCTGAGGTAAAGAACTGCTATTAGATTTACTTGTGCCCCACACATGCAGATATATCCTGACTAAGATTTTTAGAATTGTAGTAGAGTGCTTTACTATAGCAGTATAATCACAAATTTTATCTACAGTTCAGCATCAAAATAGATAGGAAATTCATCCTCTGTCTAATAACATTTTATTGGAAAATCCTAGATCACAAAAAGTATTCCCAGTGGAGCAATCTTCCAATGTTTCTGCTTCTGTACATGCTGTCTCAGGCATTCTGGTGCTTCTGGTTAATAAATTATAAAGCCCATCATAAATCCTGTTCTTTCCTGCCAAAATCCTTTTAGCTATAGCTCCTAGAATAGAAAAAGCCACCATATAAGAAATTTCTGTAGAAAGTCACAGTCCATCTTATCTATGCTCTTCAAAGGTTGTAGGGAGTAACAATCATCACAGTTCTAGGCTGAACAGCTAGACCTTCTAGGCTTACTACCTCGGACTTTTTGTCTTAATACACTTACTCTGTTCTTGATCTGCTGTCCTAGGTTTCTACCCCACCTTCCTTTTGGCCTCATTTCATATAGTTTCTGAGGACCTAGTCACTGGGGCTTGTCTTGAGACAGGCTTTTATTTTTATTTCTTCAAAAGCTCCCAGTGTGAAAAACCAATCTTTCTCCTTCTCCCAGATTTTTCTGGACAGAAGGAAACACAGTATTTCAAGAAGGGAACCAAAGACCATAAAGTCCATGATAGACCTCCTTACATGTGAAGGTCAGTACTATTCCTTGACTTAGCTCAGACAGGGTGTATCATGTAAAGAGTACATACAGAAAATGGTTCTTAGTGAACTCACCAGAATACATATAAGTAATTAAAAAAAAAGAACAAAATTAAAGCAAATCTTTATCATTGCTGCTTGTTTGTCTGCAAAATCATGTTCAGAACAGATGTCAGTGTTTGTGATAAACATCCCATACTATTTTATCAAGGCACAGCCAAGTACTGTTGCATCCCATAGGTCTTCTCATTCTTTTTAGTTAGAGCTAAACAGAACTAAATGTTCTTTTTGGTTTGAAACTTCTCTGCTGAGATTACTTGTTGTTTTTGATCAGTCATTACTACGAAGGAGCTAGAAAGTCAGGAAACTTAAGAAATAAAGAAACTCAAGAAAACAAAAAGCATATAGTGACAATCCTGAAAACAAACCAAGAGYTGCATAAGATAGAAAATTTGGCTTAACAAAGGCATTTAAATTGGATAAAATATAGAACATGTGCTAAAAACATCTGCCACTTTTACTCAGGAAAATTAAAATACTTTATTTCTGTGATAGATCTATTCACCTGTGCAGATATTCCTTCCTCAAAAAACAAACAGCACATACATATGGGCAAACCTCCTAACATTAGGATTTAATTTTAGCTTGTCAGTTGAAGATTTTATTAACTCTCATTTAATAAACTTAAAAGTTAGAAAATTCTAAAAGTTCCATTAATGTAAGATTTAAAAGCTCTATGTTGTGGATACTGAACAAATGGAAATAAATCCAACTCTTCTCTTGTGTGCATCAAATGTTTCTCTCTACTAAGTGTAAAATGGAACTTAAAAAGCAGAAAGGATATGGATTATAGAATGAAAAAATAAAATTGTTCATCTGACATTATATTGGGTTAGCGGTGGACATGTTAACGCTAGACCAAATGTTAACTCCAACTAAGGATCTTATACAGATAGTGATTTGTGTGATTCTGCTCTAAAGTTCTTATAGTATTCTGGACAAGAAAAATCTATCATGAGTAGAATGGAAATTATTCAGTCCTTCTGTCCCCTTGAAAACAGCCTATTAGCTTTAAATATCAGCAATAATACTAAATAAAATTTAAATATCATCATAAAATGTCAGTTATTCTTTATTTTATAGCTGCTACCCAAAATAATGATTACTATTATTATAACTATGTGCGAGGGAAGTATCTAAGTTCTGATTTTCTGTCTCAGCAAGAAATTTCTAGTTTTACATTAGGAAAGAAGCTGTCATTACAGAGCAAGACCACTGAGCTGGTGTTGAACTTACCGATCTCCCAGACTTCTGGCAAAATTATTTTAATTAGCCTTCTCCTAACAGCATTTAAACAAACCCTGGGCTGCCAGGGAAGGAAGAAATGACTTCTCAGTCAGATAGTT